ATTAATAGAAAAATTAATTTTTATTAATTTTTTATATAAAAATACCGCCTTAAAAGACAGATGCAGCATTTATTAATAAAAAATTAATTTTTTATTAATTTTTTATATTAAAATGCCACCCCAAAAGTCAGACGTGGCATTTATTAATAAAAAAATTAATTTTTATTAATTATTTATATAAAAATGTCACCTTAAAAGACAGATGCAGCATTTATTAATAAAAAATTAATTTTTTATTAATTTTTTATATTAAAATGCCACCCCGAAAGTCAGACATAGCATTTATTAATAAAAAAATTAATTTTTATTAATTATTTATATAAAAATACCGTCCAGAAAGACGGATGCGGCATTTATTATTATATAAATTAATGTTTAATAAAAAAATTCTGCCCTGAAAGTCAGACGCAGCATTTATTATTAAAAAAATAAATTTTTAATAATAAAATGCCGTCCAAAAGTCAGACATGACATTTATTATTAAAAAATCTCATTTTTATAATTTTAATATTTAAATGTCGCCCTAAAGTCAGATGTTGCATTTATTAATAAAAAAATTAATTTTTGTAAATTTTTTATATTAAAATACCACCCCGAAAGTTGGACATGACATTTATTAATAATAAAATTAATTTTATTAATTTTTTATGTTAAAATTCTACCCCGAAAGAAGGACGTAGCATTTATTAATAAAAAATTAATAAAAATTAATTTTTAATAACAAAATGCTATCCCAAAAGTCAAACATGATATTTATTAATAAAAAAATAATTTTTATTAATTTTTAATAACAAAATACCGTCTCGAGTCTGACACAGCATTTATTGTTAAAAAAAATTAATTTTTAATAATAAAATGCAGATCTGAATGTCAAAGGCAGATTTTTGTTAAAAAAACAATAAAATTATTGTTTTTTAACATTAAAACGCCATTCTGTAGGATGGAGGTAGATCTTTGTTAAACAAATTTTTTGATCTGTTAGATACAGATACAGATTTAGATATAGATTCAGATTTATCAGATTCAGATATGGATTTAGATTCAGATTTTTCAGATTCAGATCAAATCAGATTTTGCCTAAATCTGTTCTGATCTGATCTGTTCAGAATACTATCTTTAACTATTTAAGAAATTATAGCCAAAATAAATAAGTGAAATTTTAGATAAGTAAGTAATTATCATTAAATAGAAATAATGATTTTTTTATAAATAAATAATAAAGATATATTTATAATTTAAAGGTCTATTTAAATCTTTTAGACTTAATTATAAACTAAATAGTATATAAATATATCAACAGATACTATTTGCAATTTAATTCTATTAATTGTAAACAAATATTTATGCAAATTATCAATTGTATAAAAATTCCAATATTAACACCTTTTTAAATGTTAATAGTAAAAGTTGCTTAATATGAACGTTACCCAATAATGATTTAATTTTGATAAATATTTATATTTTATTTAATTATATTAAATAAAGTTATATGCAAAATTTTAGTATATTTTATTATGTAGGATTTTTCAATTGAAGCTAATTTATATTTAAAATACATTGTATAATAGCATTTTCAATATGTGATAAAAATGAGAAAATGATTGGCAAATGATTAGCAAATGATCAACAAATATAATAATATGAAATATGTTCACCTTGCTATAGAGGATTCTCTTTCTCGTTAGATTCAATCCAAGAATTTTTACATAAAAACATGTTCATTCAAAGATGATTAGGTTAAGCTTGCAAATAAAACAAAAACCTCTCTTATTAATTTATTCCTCTTTTTGTTACCTACATCTTATTTACATAAAATTGTCAAAATAGTCTAAACTGTGTTGCTTTTTATTAAAATATTTTTTCTTCACTTCTTTTTGACATATTTTTTCTGTTTTTTCTGTTTTTTCTCAAATTGTTTACAAAAAGTGAACATCAAGAGGTATCCCAACCAGTGATCATAATCAATCTACTTTGGATAAAAATCTCACATGATAATACTCCTCTTCCTTTCTGAATGACAACTTTCTATATAGTTAGTTGATAACTTTTCATCAGATTTTTGACGTGTGAAGATCACAGAATATCACGTAATATTTTCTGAACTTATATAACTAGGTAGTGAAACTTATCATTTACTGAGAATAAGTTCTTAACTTTGAAAGTATATATCTGAAGAGACTCTATTAGAATTTAGTGATTTTGACGCTCCTATAATGGGTAATTGCTGTAATTTGAAATTGACTAGACATTTTAGCTAGGAATTAAATAGAGTTATTTATTTTTATTACTTTCTATATGTACCTATTTCCTTTCTTTGTGATAGTTTTAGCGAGCAGTTGTTTTTATAGTTATGATTGAAGGATATATAGAATACTAGTTGTTGTAGTTACTACTCATTTTCTGACGGTGTTAAAATTTAGTTAAAATTTTTGGATTGCATTATCTTGTAAGCAGATTTTGCAGCTTGCCAAGTTAATGTTCTCTTTTAGCTTGATGGAATCATTAGACAGTGTCTGATAGAACTTAGTTTAATCCTGATTATTCTCAGAGTTAGTATCTTTTATTTTGCATAGGTTTCTTCTATATAATTTTATTATTTACTTATTTGTAATAAAGTTTAAAATGCATTATTGCATCAAATTTAAAAATGCAAAAAAAACATCCTGCTATAGAGGGTCAACTGTATATGATTTAGTTTTGAAATTAATTTTGGCTTAGGCAATATAAGAATGTTTCAGAGTTTCAGAGATAATCACAAAGTAAATCTTCATTTGTTAAATAGTTTAAAATAGGCAGTGATCCTATAGTATCAATATGTGCTCTGTCAGTTCCATTAAATTTTATTCAGTAAAAATTTACTTACATGATTTTCTTAATATCCTTAGTCAAATAGATATTATTTTTTTGTAAACAATATATGATCTTATTTACTTTACATATAATTTTAGTTTTAAAATTTGAAATATGTACAACTTTTTCAATTAGTAGCTTACATCATTATGTATTAATAAACTTTTATTATTTTTTCATTTACACCAATTTACATTTCTGACAGTAATCTATTTAAATGTAATGATCCAAACATTCTTTCACACCATAAATCCCATTTCATTCTATTCTTTCTATCTAATATTTTGATAATTAATTTTCTTTTAATAAGTAAGATAAAAATATAAAATTATATCTCTGAAAAAATCTTATATTTAGTTTCTTAAATTTAAGATTGCAATGTATGATAGACACTTTGATTCATATTTTCATATGAATTCTAAAATTCTTAAATTAGATTTTAAATCTTATTATTTTTAATTATATGTATATTTATGAATCATAATACGTGATTCTCATTTTATGATTAATTATTTAAATGATAATTTTTCATTCGCTTTGATAAAATTTTAAGATATGAAAAGTGATTCACTAGCAATGCTTAGATTTTTTCAATAAGATATTAAAATAAAATAACATATAATCTAATAATAACCAATAAATCGTTGAATAATAATTAGAATATTAATTCGTAAATCAGCAGAATACAAACACTAATTAAGATTAACAATAGGCTATTTTTATTGGACTATTATTCAAGCTTATTAAATATGTTACATCAGAATTAGTTATAATATGAAAATCGAAAAAAAGATATGTGATAAAAAATATATATGTAGGAAGTCACCATTTCAAGAATTTTCAGTTTATATTTTATAAATAAATTTGATACTTTACATGTATTATTGAAATATTTTATAAATTATAAGGTTGTTTTTTACTTGATTGATTGACTTAAAGCACTAACTTCAAGCAATGATTTTCTGTATTTTATTTTTGAATGTTGCAGAATAAGTAATTATCTATCCACGAATAGCTTGGAGTTTTGGAACTTCAAATTTATCAAATTGACCTTCATTCGCCATATTATTTAACTCTTCCAATATCGTTATAGCTGTATATCCTTTTGTTTTATTAGCTTCTCTTTCTAACAAATTAGTAATTTGTATAGACATATGGTTGCCACTGCCTTTATGATCATATTTCTGATTACTTTTGAGTGCCCAACCCTTAGAAAACTCAAACATCGACTCAAGTGGTTGAATATTAGCTAAAAAAAAAAAAATAATTGGTAAATAAAATTTCATATTATTAGTTTATATTTGTATGTAAAGAAAGTAATATTTACATGTTGAGTTTAGTGTTTATATAATATTGTTTTGTCAACTAATTGATCTAATTATTATGAAAATAATGAATTTACAAAAATTCTTATTTATAATAAAGGATATTGCAAGACCAAATTTTTTACGAACTGATTTGAGTTTTTCATAATTGTGGCGGCAGTTTAGGTAGCTTTTGAAATAATATTAATTGGAGTTGGTTTTGAATAGATGATTCCATCAATTTTGCAATTTTAGCAGGTAAATATGATTAAAAATTATGTAAAATAGTTGGTTCAGATAAATGACTTGGTCATCGGTCATTTAACGTTGAAATGCATTTGAGGTCATTTGGATTACTGGTCATAACTGGTTTATTACATACACTTTCATGGTCCATGAGAGTGAATTTCTAATTTCTCAAAATTACGTAAAAAATGTTTTGTTGTAACAACATTTATTATTATAAGATTTCATGTGAAAAAGCCTTAAAATCAATTTATACAATCATGTCATTTCACAGAAAAAAAAAGTATATCACGTTAGAATTTTTTTTTTTAATACTCCCCCTTCCTCCCAAGATCATATTTGGTACATTCAAAAATATGTGAGAAAGGAGCTTTTATTAAAATAATATATGTTTATTACATTAGTTAAAATGTTTGAAGGACTAATGGTAATATTATATTTTCAAATTTTTATTAGTTGACTTTACAAATGGACACAAATGAATGTTAAGAATCATTTTATGAATCAATTTGCAAAAATACCTCGATATAATATTACTTATTTAGAATTAAAAAGTTTTTTATCTCAAAAATTGATCGGAAGGAATTTACTTTGCATTTCATTTGATGTAATTTATTCTTTTTGAATGAGTAATGGTTAAACAAGGAGAATTTTGAAGAGCTTGTGAGATTGAAATGCATGGCAACAATTCAAATAAAAATTCTTTCTTTATTTGTAAACCTTTTTTTTTTAGACATAACCTTGAGAACGCTTCTTTCGCTTTTTCCAAGGTCTAATGTCTTCTTTAGTTCATTTAATTTTTTTTACCTTCAAGAAATGAAATTTTTTACTGTATATATATATATATATATATACGGGGGAGGACAAAAGTATTGCACGAATTCGATTTAAATATTTTAGTTAATTTATCATATGTAACTAAGCCATATTTTTTTAGTAACATATTATCGATTACATAAATGAAATATTTTTATTATAGTTTGAATTAATATGCATGCAGAAATATATAGAATGTTCTAAAAGTTTTTTTCCTAAAAAAAAAAATAAATAAATAAATTAAACTAATTAAACTTAAAGCTTTCATACTAAAATAATAAAAATCAAGCTACATTCATCCTTTAATAATCCTGCTAATCATTCTTGTTAATAGGAATTACACAACATTATAAAATCACCAACTGCATGGAATATTAGCGTTAATGATGAACTTAATCCTTTAAATTTAATTCAAACAAGCTTATAATAACTTATATAGGTGAGTTTATATTGTATAACAATTATAATTTTACTGTTTTCGTATGGAATCACTTATTCTTGCATAATTACAATTATTTTCAAATATAAGATCTGGGTTAAGAAGAAAACTGTGCTGCAATTTGGGCAAATTTTCCAATTCCTGAACAATATGGATTATTATATTTTGAAGTTGACATTATAGATAAAGGGAAAAATGTGTACATTGTAAAACTTTGAATACAGTTTTTTTGTTTTATATAAATGTAATATTTAAAATTTGCCGATAATTCAAATTCTATAGGGAGATTGGAATCGGGTTTTGCACAAAATCAGCTAGCCTAAATAAAATGCCAGGTAATTTTACTCTTATTTTTATCATCTTAATTTGTTAAATAAAACTATTTATTGTATTAGGCTGGGAAGATAGCTTATGGGGTTATTATGGTGATGATAGACAAATGTTTTTTAACACTCTTAGCAAACTATATGGACCAAAATTTATGACCAGCGATACTATCGGTTGTTACTTAAACATTAGAAATAATACAATATATTATACAAGAAATAGAGTGAATCTAGGTATAATACAAATTTTAAACTTTTATGTTAAGTAATAGAGACTTAATATTTATTGTTTAATTTAAGGAATTGCATTCTGAGATTTAAAAAATGAGAATGCTATATATCCTTGTGTTAGAATTATATCACCAGGTGGATCCGTAAGAGTAAACCTTGGTTATAGAAAGTACAATTATACAGGTATATTCACATTCATTTAGTTTCTTTTTCTTTACTTTATTAATAATAATTTTTCTTTAGTAATGAATGATGATGATATTGATAAACCTTTAAAGAAGAATTGGGCTGAAATTTTTAATCCATATAATGACAAATTAATAAGTCAACAGATTATTAGATTTGCAGATTTAAAGCAATCATCAGATGCTGAACACATAATAAAATATCGAGGAAAGCTTATTTTATTATAGGTGAATATGAACTAGCAATTTCAGATTTGATAAAATTGCTAGAGTTGGAGGCAAATAATACATTTGCATTAAGATATCAAGATGAAATTTTTTGTATGATAGAAAAATATGAGAAATCACTTGCAGATTTAAACAAATTACTAGAAATCAAACCAAACGATATATGAACATTAAATGCTTGTGAAAAAGTTACCAGGATATATAATTTATTTATATTAATTATTTAATATATATTCACTTAAATTATCTATATTTGTAGAAGGTAACAATATTATTGCATCATTCATTTTTTATTTAAAATACATAATTAATTATTTTATAATATCGGAGATATCAGAGAGTTGAGTATAAGAAGAGTTTATGTTAAGGATTAAATTTAATAAGTTTTTTTTAATTAAAAAATATCAAATTTTTGGTAAAGATTTAAAAGGTAATAGAATTTATATCATGTATTATAATAAACATTTATGTAATTGCTAATAATTCTTTATTAAATATATTTTTTATTTTATATTAATATTATTAGAATGTAAACTATTTAATTTGTTAAATATTTTAACTTATTAAATAATTAAAATAATTTAATTAAACAATACAATATCTAATACCATAGGGAGTAAGTTATCTATAATTTTTTATATTGTTATTTAAACATAATCAATTTATTTTAAAAAATTTTAATGGTATTTTAGTTAGTAAGCTATTTTAATGAAGTATATTATATTTAATTTTAATATTTATAATAATTTAAACATTCTAAATTTTTATTTAAAAATTATAGAATGTAAGTTATATTTATTAATAAATTAACTATTATATTTACTTGGAATATAAATCAAAAATACTAATATATTATTAATATTACAGGAAGTTAATTATTTAATTAATTAATTTTAATTAATTATACTTTTTACTGTAATTTAAACTCAACTAAATTTTTATTTAAAAAATAATTAATGATTAATAGTATAATAGATTGTAAGTTATTTTTATTGATTATTAGTATTTAATTATACTTTTTACTGTAATTTAAATTGAACTAAATTTTTTATTTAAAAAAAATTTAAAATTTAGATTGTAAGTTATTTTTATTGAATATCAGTATTTATTATACTTTTACTGTAATTTAAACACAACTAAATTTTTTATTTAAAAAAATAATTAATGATTAATAATATAATAGATGGTAAGTTATTTTTATTAATTGTCAGTATTTAATTATACTTTTTACTGTAATTTAAATCCAATTAAATTTTTACTTAAAAAAATAATTAATGATTAATAATATATAAGATGATAAGTTATTTTTATTAATTGTCAGTATTTAATTATACTTTTTACTGTAGTTTAAACTCAACTAAATTTTTACTTAAAAAAATAATTAATAATTAATAATATAATAGATGGTAAGTTATTTTTATTAATTATCAGCATTTAATTATGTAATTTATGTAATTTAAACTCAACTAAATTTTTTATTTAAAATCAAAAAAACACTATTAAAGGAAGTAAGTTATTTTAGTTAATTATTAGTATTTAATTATACTTTTGTTGTAATGTAAATTCAACTAAATTTTTTATTTAAAAAATAAATCAAATTTTAATTAGTAAGTTATTATTGATTATTAGTATTTAATTATATTTTTTTTTAATATAAATTTAACTAAAATTTTTTATTTAAAAAATAAATTAAATTTAGATGGTAAGTTATTTTTATTTATTAACAGTATTTAATTATACTTTTATTGTAATTTAAACTTAACTAAATTTTTTATTTAAAAAATAAATTTAAATTTTAGATGGTAAGTTATTTTTATTAATTATCAGTATTTATTATACTTTTACCGTAATTTAAACTCAACTTAATTTTCTATTTAAAAAAATATTTAAAATTTTAGCTTGTAAGTTATTTTTATTGTTTATCTGTTTTTAATTATACTTTTTACTATAATTTAAACTCAACTAAATTTTTATTTAAAATATATTATTATTAGTTAGTAAGTTATTTTTATTGATCATTAGTATTTAATTATACTTTTACTGTAATTTAAATTCAACTAAATTTTTTATTTAAAAAATTTTAGATGGTAAGTTATTTTTATTGAATTATCAGTATTTAATTATACTTTTGTTGTAATTTAAATTCAACTAAATTTTTTATTTAAAAAATAAATTAAATTTTAATTAGTAAGTTATTTTTATTGATTATCATTATTTAATTATACTTTTACTGTAATTTAATTTAACTAAATTATATATTTAAAATCAAAAATATTACTAAAGAGGATAAGTTATTTTTATTGATTATTAGTATTTATTATACTTTTACTGTAATTTAAACTCAACTAAATTTTTTATTTAAAAAAATAATTAATGATTAATAATATAATAGATAGTAAGTTATTTTTATTAATTATCAGTATTTAATTATACTTTTTATTGTAATTAAAACTTAACTATATTTTTTATTTAAAAAAATAATTAATGATTTAATAATATAATAGATGGTAAGTTATTTTTAGTATTTGATTATATTTTTACTGTAATTTAAATTCAACAATTTTTTATTTAAATAAATAATTAATATTTATAATATAATAGGTGATAAGTTATTTTTATTAATTATCAGAATTTATTTATACTTTTTACTGTAATTTAAACTCAACTAAATTTTTTATTTAAAAAAAATAATTAATGATTAATAATATAATAGTTGATAAGTTATTTTTATTGATTATCAGTATTTTATTATACTTTTTACTATAATTTAAATTCAACTAATTTTTTTATTTGAAAATATATTATTATCAATTGGTAAATTATTTTATTTATTATTTATAATTTTGCTTTAATATATAAAATAATATTTAATTTTAAAATATGTAATAAATTTGTAAAATTTTTTAACTATAATTAAATTTAGTAAGTTTTATTTTAAAGTTATAATAAAATTGTAATAATAATACTAATAATATAAAATATTTATTTAGAAAAACAGTGATATGTTCAATTTGTAATACAAAAATTGCTGGATTTAATTAGTGTAATAAATGTTATTCTAAATTATTTCAACAAAATTTTACTAATTGGACCAGTAAGAATAAATTTATTAATAAATTTATTCAAGAAATTCAACAGAATGCTATAAATGCTAAGCAAATATTAGAATAGATTCCTTATAATAAATTAGTAAATATTGAATATCTTGATAAAGGAAGATTCAGCACTATATATAAAGCTATTTGGTTAGATGGATATATTAAATCTTATTCATATTATAATAAAAATTGGATTAGAAGTAATAAAATTGAAGTATCTCTTAAATGTCTTTATAAGTCATTTAATTTAAATAAAGAATTTTTAAATGATATATGAATTTATGATTATTTTAATTTTAAATAATAAATTTTAAACAAATTTTTATTGTTTTGGTGGAAATATCATTATGAATGTTTTAGTCAATTAAAAAAATATTCAAATGAAAATCTTATTTAATTATATGGATTTACTCAAGATCCAAATACATTAAATTATATGATAGTAATGAAATATGCAAAAAATAGTAATTTA